TCAGAGGTCAACTCATCAGAACCTCTGGCGCTTCTAACAGAGGCTCTGTGGGTTTGAGCTGAGCAAGTACTCATTTTCTCTGTGGATTTTCAAACCGTTTAGGTAAAGGTGTAACATTATAAGAAGGCCTGGCACATATCATAGAGGCTCTGTTACCCTTAGGTCTCTGACAAAAATCTCTTAATAGTTCTTGTCTATTGATATAGTGCGCGTGGTTCTATGGATAAGGGTTAGAACCAACACACGCGTGTCAGAAAAGGGGGCGCACGTCATCAATCGCGCGTCTTTCGAGCACGGCGTGTCATACTTTTTGAGCCGTTTCAACCTAAAACCACTCATCACGACCTTTCGTCAATAAAACGGTTCAATTCAAAATTCTCAATATAAGTACCCCTTTCCCCCCAAATCAAAAACCTTTACCACTCTTATATTCTCCGGCGAACCTGAACTTGCGAACCTTCATACAAAACCTGCAAAAATGTCTTCCTCATCTGCCTCAGCTCAATCCGTCAACGTCTCCAGTGACAACGAAGTCACACAGGCCCAAGCTCTAACGTCTCACGCCCTATCCTTCGTCCAAAACCGATACGAGAAGGTCGTGCTCTTGAAAAAGCCAAACAACTACTACTTCGTTCCATCACACACAGGTTTTCCTGAATTCACTTTCCCCCTCCTCGAAATTCTAAGAAACCATCCCCTTTTCTATGCCCTGTCTGCTACCAAACCGACCCCTAAGTCCTATATAACCCAATTTATTTTAAGCTCTTACATAACTAATTTGGACAATACGGGTTTTGAACAATGTTGGGTACGCCTCTCACCCTACGAATAAATCTTTGGTACCCTTGGAATTGAATGTGGACAAATTGCGAACTGCCCTTCACTTACCCACCCTGGAAGACCTTAATTTGAATGCTTATGCTGCAACCCCTACAGATGAGGAATTAATTCAATTCCTTGAATTCCATTCCTATGCAACCCAAATCATCAAACGGACTCAATTCAAGCGCAAAGGACTACCCCCTATCTGGAATACCCTGTTTTCCATCGTGAACTGTTGCCTGACAGGGAAGGCTGGAAGCCACGACCAGACGTCTCATGCTATGCTTTAAATCGTGTATGGAATCTACTTCAACCTACCTCTGGATTACGCACAGCTTATATTCGAGGATATGGTTGGATTAATCAAAAAGAAATGTGCGACACAAAGGGGAGAAAAGTCCAAGGTCAAAGCGCAGAAGAAGGCCAAGGAAGACATGAACCAACCAAACTTAATTCTACAACGGTTCCTTGGTCTTGTCTTTGGAGATTTGTTAGCTTTGGAGATTTGTTAGCAGCAAAGCTACCTTCTGTGGAGCCCAACGCAAGGCTGTACCCGTTCAAAGAATTCCACCCAACTGAGCATGAGCAAGGGTACAGAAGCCCCAAACCCTTATCAAAAGCCATGCTCAGGTTCCTTAGTCACGGAGATAGGAAGGCCTACAGACGTGG